CTGCCCTTTCAAACTTGCTTTTAGAGGAAATATGGGGGCAGGTGGCCATGATAGGCAAGGTGTGGTCAAAAACCAGTGTCCCTAAGCTTTGTGTTGTCACTGCTTGCAAGCCCGGGGAGGTGAGGAGCTGTCTGAAAAGCAGACTCCATGGGAAGGGTTGTACCTAAGCAAAGGGTGATGTGATTCCCAGGCTTTGTGGAAAGAGAGAGTGTGTTAGAGTTCTAGCCCCCTTCTGGTGGGCACAGTCTAACATGGGGCCAGGGTAGGCTGCACACTGGCCTGGCACATGGACTTACAAAGACCCAGGGCTCCTGCTTTACTGTGTATTTTAAGAGGAGGAAATGGGCTCTTTTGCTCTCCTAACGGCCCGGCTGCTCTCTGATTTTCACAGGTAATGGGGCAGGAAATTGCCCACAGTGAATGAGCGAGACCTGTTACCTGTGGGTGGAAATGGGTAATGAGAATTTAAACCCAGGCACATCACCGGATCACATTAGGGAGCCAGCTAGCAAAAATGATTAGGAGGGTTTTAATATGCGCCGATTGGATGGATATCCATCCCTGCAGCGACCTCAGGCTCATTAGCCTAGCAGTCCTGCACAGGCAATCAGTCATTTCTGCTTGCACAGTGGCCTCCATCCCAGAACTCTTGAGGGGCATCCAAGACCTGGAGGTGGGAAAGAATTCAAATTCTATTTGTCATGGTGTATTCAGGTCCCCTTAGTACAGCTCAGATGACCCGACAGACTTGACCTACCTACAAGTTCTAACCTTCCAACCTTCTCTGAGAAAATCAACCTAGGACTAAGCCACTGGTCACTGTACCCATCATTCCTTTTTCTCCATTCTTAGGGGTTGCTGCATCCTCATGCATGGGGCACTGGACCTGTGGCCAGAGCTCCAGGGTCCTGTGGACAGGTTTTCCAGGCATGTCTCTTCCAAGACCTTTCATGTAGAGGTCTCCTTTGGGTCAGTTTTTTTTTCTAGTCCTCTGTGACTCACCACCGTGAAACTTCCCCACATGTCCCAGAGTGGGCTGTGGTGCTTTGTGCTGTCAACTTGATAAAGCCTGGAATCACCTGGGATCTGAACATGTCTGAGGGGGGTTATCTTGATTATGTTGAGGTGGGAAGATCCCCCACTATGGGTGGCATCATCCCCTGGCTGGAATCCTGGGCAGCAGTACACAGTCAGTCATCACTCTCTGCTTCCTGATTGGAATTGCAGTGTGACCAGCTGCTGCAGGCTCCTGGCAGCTTGATGTCTCCCCTGACCTGTGAGCTAAAATGAACCCTTTCTTCAGTTGCTTTGTCAGAGTATTTTTTCTCTGTAATGGTAACTCACAGTCTTCTCCAGTTTGTGCTTATTTGGGTACTTTCTTCGTCTGGGTACATCTCCCCAGTCAATAATAGTGTCTTGTTTATTTGAAAACATTTAATCCAAGATTTTTTTTAAAGCAAAGAAATTGAAAAGGCAAAATGGAAGCTGGGATAGAGGCTGAAGAGATGACTCAGTTGGTAATGTGCTTGCTATGCAAGCATGAAAACCTGAGTTTGATCCCCAGAGCCCCAAAAAAGTCTGGAGTGTTGGGGCAGCGGTGGTACACACTTTTAATCCCAGCGTGTAAGAGGCAGAGGCAGATAGATCTCTAAGTTCGAGATCAGCCTGGTCTACAAAGTAAGCTCCAGGACAGCAGGACTACGCAGAGAAACCCTGATTCAAACAAAACAAAATGTTTGAGCTTGTAATTTCAGAGTTGGGGGATGAAAAAGCAGAGACAGGCAAATCCCTGGGGTTCTATTCCTAGGCTAGTTCTGAGCCAATGGGAGATCCTAACTCAAAGAACAAAGAAATAGCTCCTGAGGAACAGCTCAGGTTGTCCTGTAGTCTCCAATGTATGTATATGAAAATGCATGTGCGTTAAAAAAAAGAAGGAAGGGGAGGGAGGGGGAGAGAGGGAAGGAAGGAAGGAAGGAAGGAAGGAAGGAAGGAAGGAAGGAAGGAAGGAAGGAAGGAAGGAAGGATGGCCATCCCTGGTCCCTGCCTGAATCAGACCAGCCCTAGGCTACCTACCCACAGCCTCTTTATTCATTTCTTTAGGCCCAGCTTTCCACACCTCATCCTTCTGTTTCAGAACCACCGGAGGCGCCACTGAGCATCAAAGTCCTTCATATAACCCCAGCCTGGCAGCCTGACTTCAGCGCTCACGTCCAACACATGGCCTCAGCTGTGGCTGCCATCAGTCCTAATCACCCTGCTGGCTCTGTCCCCTCCTGTCTGTTTTGAGCCCCCCCCCAGCTTCCCTCACCCCTTCTAGCAACCCCTTCCTCTCAACTTCCCACAGGCTCCTTCTCAGATGCAGACCCTGTGACACTAACCCTGCTCCATGCCCAGCCACTCTTATTTCAGTTTCCTGCATCCTGATGGAGACTTTTGACAACACTGTCACCCTTGTCCCCTTGCAGTGCCCCGAGCATGCCTTGTTCTGTGTAACTAAACAGCTAAGTCTCTTCATCTAATGACTTAAGGCAGGGTCCCTACCCTTCAGGTTTTCCTTGAGGAATATTCTAGTAACTTTGTATTCATGGAATTTGGTGATGGTGGATCCCAGCAGCCTCTAACTGGTTCTCTGGATGAAGAGCCAAGCTGTGTCCTCCCAACATTGTCACAAGGCCAGACCAAAGGCAAGAAGCAACACTTGCTGCTTTCTGAATCTCCAGTATTCCAGACCAAAACAATCCTAAAACTATTAGCTATGGTATCAGCAGTTCTGGGGTTGGATCTAACTCTGCCATTCATTTGCTGTTGGACTTTGGATAAGTCATTTACCCTCTTTTGGTTAAATGACTAAATACACTCAGGTATTTATTTAATTCTCTCTCTCTCTCTCTCTCTTTCTCTCTCTCTCTCTCTCTCCATCAGTCTTTGATTTAGTTTTGTCTGCAAAGTTTCTGTAGTGCCCCTGGCTCCAGGTCTAGACAAGAGGAGCAAAAGAACAATATCTAACACTTGACTCCTAAACCCAGACAACCCAAGCTTCCCAGTGATGTCCGCTTGAAGCAAGGGCCCAGTGAAACTACTGAAGTGGACCACTCCCTGGGAGAACAGTCTGCTTTGAGAATAAAGGACAGCGGGTTGGCCAGAAGGCAAGTGGATTTTATGAGTCAGCAAGGTGGTGGTCTCAGCTTATGCAGGCTGTTTGGATTAACTGAGAACTAAATGCCCTTGCCCAAGGTAGTTGACCACTGGGATGGATAAGGAAGGTAGTGCTTTTCCTGGTAAACAGAAACCCTCCTTAAGAGTTACCAGAAGAATGCTGAATTTAGGCTTCTATTTACCATCTGTTTAGGGCATCCTCCCCAGCACTACCACATACTTATATATCCTTAGCTGTCACTTTCCATGGGCATCACCACCCAACTACCCTTGATCAGCCAACTCAGATCCTGCCATCACCAGGCCAGTTTAGTTGGGGGGAAACCCAGGCTGTTTGGGCTCTTTCCCACAAGCTGGTAGAGGCTGAGGCCCCTTCCAACAGGGCCTTAGAGAGCCAAGGCTGAGAGTCATAGGCTTCACAACCTTCCAGAAGGCCTCAAGTTGATAGAGAAACCACAGAGGGCAGCATATCTGGCTGCATCCTCAAGACACAGCTTCCCTGCCCAAACCCCATTACTGCTACAAGGAGCCTCTGGACTTCCAGACAGAGACACTTCTTGCCCCCCCCCCCCAACCTCTAGTTCCACTTTGTAGCTGCATCAGCCTCGGATGACTGCAGTGTCTGTGGGAATAGAAGATGCCCTGTCTGCAGACAAACAGCGGGCAGAAATCGGTGAACACAGGCAAAAGGAAGTCCAAAGCACATTGAAACCCAGAAGTGCTTTACTGGGGGAGGGGTCCTAGCACACTCTAGAGCTGCTTGCAAACTGACCCTTGAGAGCCCAGCATACTAGCTCCAAGGGTCTTCCTTCTGATTAAAATGGCTGCCCATGATTTATGCATGGAGTGGAAGAGACTGGATACATTCTGAAACAGCGCCCAACTTCCAGAAACATGGAAGACTATCAATTATTGATCCTCAGGCTGAAGAGCTTGTTCCGTGGGAAAAGCAGCCCTGAGATCATTTCCTATGCAGAGCCCCCAAACTCTGCCTGAACACGGAGGGCTGTGTGGGATAGACCAGGGTAGGAGGCAGGCTCGGCCTTACCCCCAAGGGTCTACTTCCTGTGGCCCTCACAAGAGTCAGATCCTTAGCTATAAACCTGCCTAAAGCCAAATTATCATTTTTATTCTTAATAGCATTGCCATTTACTAAAAGGAGCCCCCACCAAGCAGCCGGCCTTCCTAATGGAGGCACCTCATTAAATCTCCATTGTAACTGTGCCCTAGCTTTGAGATCAAGGAAAACTGGGTGCTGAAAAGGGAGCAGACGCCGCCACCCTATCCTTATTTGTGACGCAGAGTATTTTATGTATACGAGAAGCTGGCCATAATTTGCTTATAAATAATTGACTTCTCCTCGATTGAAATCTCTAGAGGGGCTCTGGATGTATTCACAAGCCCGTGCTGCTGCCCACCGAGTGCATTAGGCCCTTTCAAACCTGTCTTATCTCAGCCCCCAAAGTATGAGGAGTGATTTTTCCCCCTTCATCCCCTGTAATAACCTTCAACTAACCTTTAAACCGGAGTGAATAATTTAAATCTTATTTTCATATCAATGGAGGAGTCAAGCCAAGCAATTATCTTTTATCTGTGTACTCTGTCGTCAGGGCGGCAGGCATAATCAAGTTTTCCCCAGCGAGCCAGATGAGAGAGAAGACTGAGGAAGTGAGAGATGGTATCTGAAGACATTAACGCAACAATGAATTATTCAATAATGAGTACAAGATCTGTCATAACACACAGGCACACACACACACACACACACACACACACACACACACACACACACTCACCAAACCGTACATCTGCTGAGCGTTCCAGGCAGGCCAGTGCTGGCAGGCTAGGGGAGGAGGTGGCTGTTAGGGGGTCTGGGCTAAGCTTGACAAATAGGCTGATGATCTGCTCAATTAGGGCAGAGAGCAGGTGTGCCAGGCGGGTGTGTGGGGCAGGAGGGCTGTGTGGTGGGCCAAAGAACACGGGGAGGGAAAGACACCTAATTCATGTAACAGTCATTTAGAGTGGCTCAGTCTATGATTTTTTTTTCAAAAGGGGTGGGCCAGCAAGGAGGGAGAAGGGAAGATATTTTTTCAAAAAATAATAATAAAAAGCAGGGGAAGGTTGAAATTCCCCATGGTGCTCATTAAAATTCTACCGCATGCGATTCTTCCTTGGGTCCCCCTGGACTGCCCGTGATCATTTTTATTAATTCATAAAATATCGCACCAGAGATTGAGGCTGATGATTACTGGAGCCGACAGAGGAGCTGCTGTGGTTTCTGTCGGATCTCACCGAGTGAAACCCACCATCCACCCTCCTACTGGGCCTTGGGCAGCCAAGCTGGGCTGGAAGAGGTGGGCCAAGGGACCCAAGTGTCTGCCGCTGCTCGTCACCAGGCTGTCTCCGCTGTCAAGACAGCCAGAGGCTTCAGCAGATACTTCCTGCCCTTGTCCCTCAGCTATGGGAAAAGTCTTCCTTGAGGCAGAGTGTCCTCTAGCACCCTGGGAGCTGTGCAGTGTTTGAGAAGCAGTTGAAGGTTTCCCAGTGAGCTCACAGCCTGGCTGGACAGGTGCCATGGCTTTGAAACCAGGGTTCCTGGACACATTCAGTCTCGTCTGGAAACGTCCATGTTTCCATCTCTTCCTCTTCTCAGAAATAATCCATTCAGTGGCTACAGACTGACTCCTGCGATATCACTGTCGGGTGCAGGTGCGGAGAGAGAGCTGTCAAGGTCCCCAGGCCTGCAGGGTGGGGTCCTGGTGAGAGAGAGCAGAGTCCATTGTTTTGTTCAGGTGATGACCTGGTCCTCCTAGGGCCCCATGATTGTCTCCCCCCCCCCTGTCTGTCAGTCTCTGTGATGAATGTGAGGCAGTGTGTCTGTGGGTACGCTGTGAAGGTACACCTGTGACGGCTAGCAGGTATGTATTCTTGCCAGTGCAAAGGCCAGAGGATACCATCGGACATTTCCTAAAGGCTAACTGTCCACCTTGTATCTCTTGTTGGGACCTGGGGTTCACCAATTAGGCTTGTTCGGCCACCAAGCTCCAGGACTCCTCCTGTCCCTGCTTCCCCAGGGCTGGGATTACAAGCATGTGCTACCATGCCCAGCATTTACGTAGTGCTGGAGATAGAACCTGGGTCCTCATGCTTGTGCATGACTGACCGAACCTTCTCCCCAGCCCACCTTCCTTCAGGTTTCTGATGCTTTCTCCTTTTTCACTGATTCTGGAGTCTGTTTCCATAAGACCAGAAGACCTTTCAAACAAACAAAAAAATCCTCCAGGCCCCAGCCTAGAGATTCACATCCCACTGGTCTGGGGTGAGACACGGGCAGGCTCTGAGTCGGAGGTCTCCAGGTGTATCAAATGCTGTGAAGTGTTCAGTTCTGACAGTCCCGGAACCAGTGCCCCCTCCCCTTCATCCACCACAACACAAGTGAAAGCGTAGAGCAAGAAGTGTGCCTCCTCTGGAAGAGCCCTGGCCTCTCAGCGTGAAGCCCTGGGCTCTATCACAAGCTCCACAAGGTAAAGCACACCAGCACCATCAGCTCTCTGGAGGTATAGGCGGGAGGATCGGGTGTTCAAGGTCATCCTCAGCAAGTTTAAGGCTAGCCTGGGTTACATGAGACCTAGCCTTTAAACAAAAGGTAGAATGAATTACTTTAAAATAGTCATGATCCTGTTTATTTACAGCCAAGCACAGAGTCCAGGGTAATTTCATACATCATTGAAATACTTGGATTTTTTTTTCTGTTAGAAAATAGCAACACTGTGTTCAGTCTGGAAAGAAAGATATCCATGTGCTAAACTCAGAGTCCCTTCTCTTTTCCGCTCACATGGACACCGGGCTTGCTCCACATGCGTTTTGCATTGAGCATTATCTGTATAGCTTCTACTGGGATCATTTGGGAACTCCACGCGCCCAAGTCTAGAGGCAGCAGACAAAGGCAGGTTTCATCGAGCAAGTTGGTTTTTAAGGGAAGGCCTTGCTTCTCCCAAGAAAGTGATTTAATTTTAGACTTATTGACAATGTGGGTTGTAAAACTGACTGGGAAACTCAGAGTCAAACTGGCTGTTTCTCCCAATAAACTTGTATAGTACAGAATATATACATATATATATATATATATATATATATATATGTCCACCTTCACCTCCATTTTTGCCTTAGGGTACCAGTACACAAATATGTACAAAGAAAAATAAAGATAAGAGAGCAACCTGTTGACTGCTGTTTTCCAGCTCCTAGACCAGGAGACCATAATGTTACCTAAGGTATCAAGCAGACAGCACAGGATTGGGTCAGGCCTGGAGTACTCCCAGAGAAACAGTGTAAACTTACCAATTATAGGACTGCACATGCTCCAGGACTTAGTTACCTTTCCATTGCTGTGGTGAAACAACTTGACCAAGGCCACTTATAGAAGGAAGAGTTCATTTGGCTCATGGTGAGGGAGTATGGCAGCAAGTTGCAGGCATGGTGGCAGGGACTGGATGCTGAGAGCTCACACCTGAACTTCAAGCACGAAGCAGAGAGAGAAAATTAGGAGATTGATAAGGATGTAAGCTCTTAAAGCTCTCCCCAAATGATGCACTTCCTCCAGCAAGGCCAAACCCCTTCGACTCCAACTAGCACCACCAACTTAGGGCCAAGTGTTCAAATACTCGAACCTATGGGGGACATTCTCATTCAAACCACTAGACCAGGTAAAGGCTCAAAAATGTTCCCTTAAATGAGTAATCATTGCAGGATCATTGAGCTGGCTCAGCAGGTAAAGGCACTTGCCACCAAGCCTGACAAGCTGAGTTCAATCCCTGGGACCCAGATGATAGAAGGAGAGAACTGATTCCCACAAGTTGGTCCCTGACCTCCATCTCACAGACAGCACACACACACACACACACACACACACACACACACACACACACACACACCCTAAAATGTAACCATTGTGTTTACAGATACATCTACATATCTGCAGGTCACTTTGTGTCCCACTGGTCACAGTATGTACATGACCATGGCTGTATGGACTCTGGTGATTCTGGAACAGATCTGGAAGAAATCCTCTCCACGGAGAGAGTCTGTTCATACTAGCTGCCAGCCCTTTGTCTCTCAACTTTCATTTTGGCACTGATTTTCCAGCCTGGAAGAGCAGGCAAATGTTAAGTTCCTAACTGCAGGGGGCTTTGTACTGAGGAACTATCTGGTAACTGAGCTGTTGAATGAGTCTCTTCTTTTCTGCTTCAGAACAATGCTCTGGAGTGCTGGGCTTACATCATGCTCATGATGGACAACAGGGAAACTGAGTCACAGGAAAAGGGAAAGGATCTATGTGTAGGTAAGACATGGGCAAGATGAACTCTTAGTGTATTGCAGGCACACATGTGCTCATAAAGAATTCTTGAATGTGTCTCAATTCCCAACTCATCTTCTTCTAGCAACTCCTTGCTCCTGGGGCAGAGCGAATTTTTCTGAATTAGCTTCTTAAACTCATATAGCCAATTACGTAAAGGAATTACAAAATCCCTTCCCTGTAATCCCAGTACTCAGGAGGTTGAGCCAGGAAGATTGCAAGCTTAAAGCCAACTTAGACTATATAGCAAGACTCTGCCTCAAAAGCAAAACAAGCAGCTGGGAAGAGGACTTAGTGGTAAGAGTGAATGCTGTGCAAGCATGAGGATCTGAGTTCAAATCCCCAGCACCTGTAGAAAAGCCCAGATATGGCTATACATTATTACAACCCCCACACCATGGAGGCAGAGCCCAGAGAACTTCTGGGGCTTGCAACCAGTCAGCCCAGCTCCAGGCTCAGTGAGACACTGTCAGTAAGGTCAAGAATGATGGAGTGGGACATCTGATGTCTTCTGGCCTCCTTGAACACCCTACACACACACACACACACACACACACACACAGAGAGAGAGAGAGAGAGAGAGAGAGAGAGAGAAACAACAGCGAAAATGAACTAAATATTGGAACAAACTCTGTACTAAAGAAAATATATGAAAGCTTAATAAACACATGAAAACCACATGATCATATTCATTAGCCATGGGAGCACACAGATTAAAATCGTAATATACTCTCTTTCCCTAGTGTTGCTAAAACTAACAAAACTGACAATGTCAAGTGTTGACAAATATATGGACCAAATAAAACTCTCCTATGTAATAATATATAATGTAATATGTACCGCATAGACATGAAAAATGGCAGGACCCTTTTTGGAAAGCATTTCTACAACTTCATATAAACCCCGAAGTACACCTGTCACATGAGCTAGCCATTCTGCCACTCAGCATATGAGAAATGAAAATATATGTTCACAAAAGACCTCTTACAAGCGTGTTCCTAACAGTTCTATTTGTAATAGGCCCCAACTGGAAACAAGCCCATTTCTTCTTACAGTTGAGTCAACAGAAAATTGTGATAAATCTATGCAATAGAATAGAATGTTCAGAAGTAAAAAAGAATAAAATCCTAGTAAATGTAACAGCGCTGATGAATATCAAAAGATCATGCTGAGCAAAATTCGTTTATGAAAAAATACATACTTTATTAGTCTTTATACATTGAAGCTTAAACAAACCAAATTCTGTCATAATAGTGATGGAAACCATTATATTAGTCCCTTTCCTCATTGCGCTGGTGAATGACTGACAAAAGCAGGAAGAGGTCCTTCGGCCTCACAGTTGAGGGTTCATACCGTTCACACCGGAGGGAAGGCAGGGTAGCAGGAGCTGGAGTCAGCTGCGCACACTGTACCATCACTCAGAAAGCACAGAGAGATGAACGGACAGCAGTGCTCCGCTCGAGATCTCCTTTGTGTTCAGTCTGGGCCCCCAGCCCATGAAATGATTCTCTGCATGTAGAGGTTGCCTTTCCTCCTCAACTAACTTTAATCTGAAAGCTCCCTCAAAGACTCGCCCAGAGTTTTGTTTCCAGAATCATTCTAAAGTATGTCCAGTGGGCAATCAAGATTAGCCATCACAATCTACATCGGTGGTTTCTTGGGTTGGAAGTAGAGAGAGATTGACAGCAAAGGAGAGACTTGGCAGGGGGAGAAATGCTTCATGTGTGAGAATAGTAACAATAGTTATGTGGTGATACTCGCAGCCAAAAGTCAACAGCTATACTCCAAGTATGTGAATTTTATGTGTGGACAGAACACTTCAATTCAGGCATAATTTGGTTAAGAGTAAAAATGAGGGACTAATGAGATGGCTCAGCAGGTAAAGTCTTCCCATCAAGCCTGGGGCCTAAGCTCCATCTCTGGTACCCACGTGATAAAAGGAGAGAACCAATTCTCGGAAGCTGTTCTTTGACCTACACACACATACACACATCTCCTGCACACACACACACACACACACACACACACACACGTACCTCCTGCACACACACACACACATAAACATGCACCTCCTGCACACACACATGCAAGTACCTCCTGCACACACACACACACACACACACACACACACACACTATAAATTAAATCTAGAAAAAATAGTAAAAACAAAGATGTCCTATTCAGAAGCTCAGTGAGTGCTCAAAAGCTAAAACAGAATATCACAGAGTTAGTGGCCATTAAAAATCTTTTTTATGTGCATGATGTGTATGGGTGTTTGCTCAAATGTGTGTCTGTGTACCACATGAGTACCTGGTGCTCACAGAGGCCAGAAGAGTGTGTCAAACCCCTTGAAACTAGAATTACAGATGGCCATGAGCTACTTGTGGGTGCTGAAAATAGAGCCTGGGTCCCCGGAAGAGCAGTCAGCACTCTCAACTGAAGAGCCATCTCTCCAGCACCCAGTGACCATTTTTTAAAAGTGGGCAGGAAATAGTGCCCCAACAGCAAGATTAACTTATATGCACCCATATGAAATGATAGTCATTTATGACATACACTAGCAGATAAGCAGTATAATATTATTTCTGTGGAGAAAGTACACACTTTTTTTAACGCAGTAAATAAACAAACCAATAAAAGCATGCAGATGCAGAGAGGGGACACCATGAAAACTCTAATCTCATACTTTCTTCAGGCCATTCTGTCTTTTTATGAGTGTGAATTATTTTTGAAATTAAAAGTTTCAAAAACAAAATCAGTTCATCCCACTCTTTCATCCCGAACCACTTTATGAGTCATCACTGCTCATGAGAGCCTGGTTCTTAGCTTGGCAGGCAAAGCACTCTGAGCTCTTATTCAATACAGCAGCCTACTCAGTATTCATGGGTGCACTCAAGCCTCTTTTTTTCATCTTCATAGCCTCCTCTGAAGGGAGCCCAGATGACCCACTGCTGCAATCCTAGCACTCAGCATAGAGTTTGACATGCAGTGGGTGCCCCAACACTAATAACAGAGTTGCCAGAACCGCTCATCACTCTCTATTACCAACCTCAAGTTCTGGTTGACCTCACCTTTTCAATCCCTTGACTCTGCAGGCCAGCCATCAAGTGAGGAAGCGGGAAGGAAGGATGAGGTGCAAAGACTACTGAGCCACAAAGCCCTGCTCTTGCGGCTGTGGAAGGGAAGATCTTAGTGACGGGAGATAGCGTCCCCATCAGTCCACATCTCCGTGGGCATCTGCCAAGTGTGACACGGCTACAGAAGGTCACACCAGCATGACCTGGGGCTTGTGTGGCCAGGTTTCCCAGTTTGTTCTGGCATTCGCCCCATGCTGAGTTTCTACAGACCCTCTGTGAGGCCCCTAGCCATTGAGAACTCGGGATATTGACCACAGGCTTCACCCCTGTGCTCCTTAAGCACAATTCAAGGCGCTCTTTTGTCCCTATCCCAACATCTATTGTCAAATCTAGAACTTGGGAGAACAGCTGTTTTTTTTTACAATAACTATATGCAATATATTCATGGCAATCAGTACATTAACCACTTCAGGCCACACTCCTGGGAATACTAAAAAAGAAGGATTATGGGAATACCACGGAAGAGTACAGACAGAGTCAGGAATCAGTGGTTTTAAGACAGTGGTTTATGGATACTGAAATCTAGATATTCGGGAGGAAGATGATTAATAAATCCATCTCTCTCAATACCACCCAAGACCTGATTAGAAGTCATCCCTCCAGAAGTATGGCCAGGGACTAGATTTCTGAGGACCAAATGAAGAGCAGTCTCAGGCTGAAGGCACAATAGGGACAGGTGGAGTACCTGGGAGAATAACCAAGAATGGGACATCAGGACAGACATACACCAGTGACAGGAAGCCACTCAGTCTTCCAGATAACACTGGGACAGACAGAAGGACACAGAAGGCTAATAAGTATCTCAACCAGTAGAATCTCTCCCTCTGGAGCCACCTCCCAACACTCCTTCAGAGGACAACTGCACGCATGCCCATAGATGGACCCCAGGCACCAGGCTGGGCAGGCATGGGCACCTGTTTTGCCATGTCATTCTTACAATAAGCAGTGAGGCAAGGACTATTGAAATTCTTACCTGTTGGATGGGAAACAAAACCCCAAAACAGGTGTATGGGGGACTGCAG